TTTTGAGATGATATGGATTGTTAATCAATAAACTGAACAGAATTTTATGCTGCTGAAACTGCATTGAACAAACTCATTTTCTCTCCGCTAGCTAACTTTCTCTGACAACATTCCAGGTTGATTGGCAGGACCTGGGAAGCAACAGGAAGTCCCAGACATCACATCCTGTGACCGGAAGTTAATGGCCGTCATATTGGACAAAGTCAAGAATAGATGAGAAAGAAAGACCTTGCAGAAACCTAATATTTCTAGGCTTTGAACAGCATTATACAGGAGAGGAAAATAACAGAAAAATGAATGTCTACCAAAGTTAATCCAAGAGCAAATAGTTAACTCATCCAGGAGGTCACAGAAAAACGTAGGATATCTAAAACATACGGCTCTCATCTCTCTCAGTTAAAATAAGCGTTTATGATCCAAGAGTAGAAAAGCTGCTGAGAATGCATCAATGAGAGAGCTTCAAGGTGTAAAAATTAAAAAAAGTTTGGTTTCATATTTGCCAAGAAACGTATGGATCATTGGCAAGAGTTTTATTAAAATATTCCAAAAGCTAATGAGGAAAGAGCGTAGTGTATTGGAAGATGAGTGTCCAGTTACATCTGGTGTAAAAAAAAGAAATACCCAAAATGAATAGAGGACACAGGATGATGGTTAATGTTACTGTGCTGCTTCATGACCTGGACAACTTGGTGAAGTGAGAACGGAACAGCAATCATTCTTTGTTGGTAAAAAATACTAATGAGAAATGTCTTGACCATCTGTTTGTGACCTCAAGCTGTAGTTCACTATAGTTACAGCATGGGAAAATGATGGAAAGCACAAAAGAAACACATAATGAAGGTGTTGTGGTGGCGTAGTCAAAGTCTAGAATTCAGTCCAATTAGGTGCTGATGTCAATATCCACCTATAGAGATGTCTAATACTACTAATGGTGTTGTTGGTAATGGGAGAACGGCCTGATCAAATAGATTTACAGTCTCTATTGGGCAAGGTTAGTTTAGATATGCTTTTTTTTTCTTTCTTTTTTTCTAAATGAAATCCTCAGTTGAAAACCCTTTGATTTTTTTATCTTGAAATACATAAAATTCAATTGTAAAGTTTATGTATCACTTCCAAAGAAGATCTACCATCTTTAATTAGCTTTATAGCTCAATCACAATTAGAACATATTCTAAACAAGTTATCACCGTGAAATATTTCACAACAAGCTGCTCGTTTAATATTGTTATTTTAATTCGATTACATTGAGGTTTGATTGACAAATGTATTATGTACCAAGATAACCACAATTAATCCTGGGTAGTTATATGTAATCTCTCAACATTAGATTTTCTTAATTAAGTAAAATTTGTGCTTACAGAAGAAGCAGGTTGTGTTTTATTATTATGGACCACTTTTTATCACTGCACCAATTGCAGTGTAAAAGTTGTTAAAATTATTTCTATCTAATGCACAAAAAGAAATGCTCAAACCGTTTTGATGTATTACTTATCTAAAAATCTGTGCCTTGCTTGGCAACTGGAATGAAACTGATTGAGCATCAGCAACCTCCATGTTTTTTTGAAGTTTGGATGGTTTCCTTTCCATTATCTTATGCTAAGTTAATAGGGATTCACGTCAGGATTCCCTAATACTTCCTGTCATGAGAAACAAGTTGATGATGTTCACGAGATCCTTACCTCTAAATGTACCTAATAGTAGCCTATAAATAATTTTACTAGCTGGTTACTACCAGGCTTTAGGCTTGACAACACAAAAGTATTTGATTGCTTTCTGGGCTTGTAGGAAGGTGTTCTGTTCAAAAGTAAAACTACATTAACAAATTATGTTTGCCCATCACTCTTTAGATTGATTTTCGTACAGCAGTAGCACCTCTAACTGAGTTAGAGGTGCTACTACTGTACGAGCATGTGGCTCTGGGTGGAAAGTTTAACTCATGCTGAACCATTGGAAATGTTACTTTTCGAAAACAAACTGAACCTTGTCTCTGGTGATACAGAAGAAAAAATTGCATGGGTGGTACAGAACTTTGGATCAAAATGAGTATTGACAGTATCCAAGGGTACAGTTCAAGTAGTTATGTTTCTACCAATGTTTAACCAGTATTCTCCTATTTGGGCTCTAAAAAAAATAATAATGTATCCAAATGTAACAACTGATAAATAATTATATGTAACTTTGTGTAAATACTTCATAAAAATGTGGCCAAAATACATTTTTCAACTTTGTTGAAAAGATATTGCCTATTCTGACAGATAAACTAAAGTGGAAAATATCGTTTAAAAAAATCAACCACATTTATTAGAGGAATAAAAGCAGTTTATCTACCATATTACAATTGATCTCGAATGCATCATGATCTTGGCATGATGGCTGGCTTAAATGCTCCTTTCATTCACCTGTCCTATTCTGCCCGGTTTTGTCATCACCGCTCATCTGATCCACCTGTGCCAGCTTCTATTTAAACTACTTGCTTCCAGGCATCAGTGCCAGATTATTCTCGAGCCCTTGTTGAGAGTTTTTTTTAGCGTATCTGATAGTGTTCTGATTGCCTGACCCTGACCCGTTTCTATATTCGGACCTTTGAACCTGCCTGCCTCTGTTATGATCTGTTTGCCTGACCTGTCTTTGGATTCTGTTGGATTCCATTGTGGACTGAACCTAGATCTGCCACTTGACATCACCCTCTGGATTATTCTGCCTTCCTTTGTATGTTCAGATCTGATCTCCTGACAGTTCTGTATGTGCTCAAAAACTAGCCTATGTAATTTGAGAAGGTAAGATCTGTCTTTGAATGGGTCATGTGGCCAAGAGAGCAGCTTTACATTAGTCTTAGCTTCCTTAAACATTAAAGACAAATAAGCTCAAAGTTGTGTATTCTGGGCAGGGCAGGGCGAATGTGGCCTTATCTTTACAAGCAACTCCATGAATTCTTAATCTCCTGTTCCAAAATGCTCTGGTAGATTCTGAAACATGGATGGAGACTGTTTAATTTGACTCTGTCTAGTGGCGGGAAGGTAGCACTCAGATTGAGTTGATGACAGAGTCTGAAGGATGTTTTAGTTGATGTTCATATCTCTTTTCTCGCCCAATATGTGCAAATAATGAGGTAAATGTGTTTAAAAACACAATTTCAGCAGCCAATAAAAGTCACTGTGTTGTCCTGATTCCAGTGTAATTAAAAAAAAAAAAACTGTAAGAAAGAAAAAACGGTGGGCCAATCAGGAACTTGTGGGCGGTCTAAACTCAGGGAAGCAGGTTTCAGCTTAAACTGCGCTTTTCCGCTTGGTCCTAGTGTTCCACGATTGTCTGTGTACTGTAGTGTAACATTGTTATGCAAGGGAACAAAACAGATGTTTGAAAAAGTGCAGGGGAGCCCCCCCCCGTCCATGAGTGTGGAAAATGTCAGCATATGCAGTACATACGTTTCTTTAATCATCAAATAGCATACAAAAAAGGCCAATACTGTTAAAGTCATAGGGAAACGGCTGTTCCAACAGTTGCATTTCTGAATTCTCCCGAGGGGGTGGTATTGTTGTGGCGGAATGTTCGCAAGCAAGTTTGGTTGTGGCAGGTTTGTCGGAAGCATCTTGCTTAGTGCTAGTAGGTTCCAACAGGGAAATTACATTAAATTGGTGACTTAGAAACAACACTGTCAAGGAACGCTATGGACAGAGGAAACATGCAAGAGGAGGAGAGTGTTGTGTCGGAGGTCGTGGATGAGTCTCTTCCGTCATACATTTTTTTATCAAGAGGAGGAAAGTGTGGACGAAGATGTTGTGGAAGAGGATGCCAGGGCGGCAGAAGCTTGGTTTGGCGTAGAAGGCTTACAGCCAGTTCTGTTAGCTCTACGCCTGCCGAAGAGACAGACGTCCATCCCCGTGAACACTTGGACGTAACTCAATGGGAAAGTAAATTATTCTTATTTCAACCGTTGTGTAGAGTAGCTGCGACATATGAATCAAGATGACTGAAAAATTTGATTGACAGATGACTGTTGATATATGATTGGCCGAATTTAGGTGTACAATCTGACATATAACTAACTGGCCTGCTTAAAAAAAAAAGCGGAAAAATTATCTCGCAATTGCGAGATCTTATTTCGTAATTATGAGATCGTATCTATATATTTGGTTATGCTTACTTAAGCCCGTAATGTAGAATCTCTCATAAAACTGATCTTCATGATTACTTATTAAGAATATCTTAATATTTTTTTTCTTTGGTGAATGCAATATGCTTCCGTACATTTATATACATGTTTAAGGCAGAATGGTTTTACCTTTAAATATGACTTCCCTACGACTTCAAGAAAACAAACTTCTGTACATCAAACTTTTAATCGGCTGAATTTATCCCAGAAAATACAAACTCGTTCCCATGTTTAAACCTGATGCATACATTCTGTCTCTGCATTGTAACATTCAAAGGACCAGGGCCACTGAAAAAAAAAAAAAGTTAACCGATTTTTAAATTTCATTTCAGTTTAATATGGGAAAAAAAGTTTTTTCTCAGAATTCTGACTTTACAGAATTCAGATTTTTTTTTCCAGAATTTTGGCTTTAGTCTTTTTTATCAGAATTCTGGCTTTAATCTCAGAATTCTGACTTTAATCTTTTCAAACTTTTTCTCATATTGTACTGAAATAATATTTAAAAGTCGGTTAAGTTTTTACTTTTTTTTTCCAGTGGCCCTAATCCTCTTCAGTATAAAGAGGGTGATAATAAAACAAAACAAAAAATTTTCCCTGTTGATGGCTTTTAGTCCCACCCCTATTGGTGACAAGACAAATAATCATTGAAGAGCGCTTTATTCTGAAGAATCAAGCAATCCATGTAAAATAAACAAACTTGAAATATCCAAAAGATGATTTAGGCTTGATGAAGATTTTTTTAACCCCCCAACAGTGACTTCCTAGAAATTTGAAGTGTTTTCTGCTTAAAGGAACATGAAGGGGGGGTACAGAGACCCAGTCCCCCCGCCCTAAACAGTACACGCTGCTGTAACTTGACGCTTCTTCTTGAGCTACCACCCTCACCCTCACTCACATGGCCCATGGAAATTTCCATCCTGTTTAATGCTCAGGGCCTCTGAATTTTGTTTTCAGACGTCCGCCTCTCCCTCAGCGCGCCACAGCTGCAGCCCCGCATCTCTTCATATAAGGTAAGCCCCGGGCATTATCATCCACCTCTTTGCTTTGGTTCGGGGTAATTATCTGGTTAATTCCGGACACCATATTTGACAGTGTGGAAGCGGGCCGTTTAATTCGTCATTGTTCCTTTGCGCAGAAGTGGCGGCACTGAGGCTGCAGCCTTCATCATAAAACATTAGGAGCCACACCTGGAAAACAGTGCGCTTTGGTTTGGATTGGTAAAAAATGATTTGTTTTTCCTCTCCTATTATTATGAGGAGGAGGGGCGTTTTTTTTTTTTTTTTTTTTTTTTTTTTTTTTTTGTTTGTTTCTTTTTGTGTGTGTGTTTCCTTTGTGGGCGCCACGCATTTATTTATTAGAAAGAATATGATTCCTCATGTTGATCCTGTGAAACAATTGTTTTTTAATGCTACCAGTTGATTTTGTGAACCACAACTTATGTTTTGCTTGGTTTTCTCTTAAGTTTTGCTTTCTTCCTCTGAACAAGAGCGACTCAAAAGTTTCTAGAAGCTTCCTCTTGTCTGCTGCAGCAAAGTCATATGGATGCATCTGACTAAGATGATATTTGGCTTTAACAGAAAAAACGAATCAGGAATTAAGGTTTATGTAACAAGAGACACTAACTAGTGACTAATAAATCTGCTGTGACTTCAGTCACAGGCTCCAACTGATGTCATGCTTTGATGGAGGGTATTATGCAACCCGTTTGCATTGGCTTACCTTTAATTTAATTTTCCATAACAGGAGCTTAAAGTTCATTAAACGTTCCCAGTTTGCTCTGATCTGCACAAAACACGTGAAGATGGGTTTAGACTCAAGGCTGTCCTTGTTTCTGCACGTAGAGCCCAACTCACAGGGGGAAACATGAACGGGTTGTTTGGATGCTTTGCATACTTTTCCCCCTAACTTTATTAATACCTATATATAATATTATAACTATATTTTTAATTAAGAGCCTAGTTTATGGTCTTTTAAATGGGTTATTACATGCATGACCAAAGCAAGTTCCTTATTTGCTGCAAGAGCCGGGAACAAAGGCATCAATCTAACACGTTGGCTTTAAGAATATTTATGTGGTGAGTTCAGGATCTGCTAGGAGCCTTCTGTATGCTAAATCTATAACTTGTTGCCACACAGTAAATGCACCCTCTAAAACCGATGTGCTTTCCTTTTCTCATCTCTTACGTAATTGCATTTTAGTTCTCCTAAATGAGGCTCCGCCCACAATATTGTTTAGATTGTTCTAGTTAGATGTGTAAAAGGAAACCAGGGATTTGTGGAAAATGTTATAATGACATAGCTCTTTGTGGAGCTTAGTCGAAGGCCTGAGAATGCTGGTTGCTCTTGGATATGTATTGCTTATAAAATGTGTTATATGGGGGGGGGGACTGACACTCTGTGTTCCTGAGCAAGACCCAGGGCAGAATATACTTCTGCAACCGCACACATCAAATATCGCTTGCATCTGCTCGCAAACCTGTTTTGCTGGTATGCTTTTGTAACGTCGTTCTGGAATTAATAGGGACGCAGAGCAGTTTCCAGCCAAAGCACTAGGGGGAGCCGAAAACTCGAACTTCTTCTGCGGCGCCTGAGGGACTGTTTATTTTACAAAACAACATGTCTGAGGCATCGTACAAGTGGTTGTTGTTATCCATTGTTGTTATTACTCTATGGCTTTTAAAAATGGCGCCGAATCGAATAGAGAAGGATGACCGCACAGACAGCCGGTAAGGCATACCAAGGACCAATCACAGCTGCTTCTTGTCTGTGCACTTCCGCTTGAGGTCTGCGCATGTTTGTGACAGTCCGACGTGTAGTCAGGATATTTTTTAGGTGCGCGACAATGGTTGCAGAGCCTGTTCTCATGGGGTGCGGTCGAGTCAGATTTGACAGTTGCAGAGGCTATGCGTTAACCCCACACTGCTCCCGGGGCACCCCATGATGGCAGCACACTGCTCCCCAAAGGGAGGGGTTAAATGCAGAGGTAAATTTCTCCAATGAGAGTACAATAAAGTTCAATTATATAAATAAACCCAATTAGCTATAATGATCACCTGGAGTTTAAATGTGCTAAATAACTGGAAGGCAAATTACCTAGGAACCGAATAAACTTTGTCCAAAGAAACATTTTCTCAAATCTCATCCACAAAATATCTAAAGTCCAATCTTTCAGGTTTCCATTCAGAAACACAAGAAAAACATTCCAATTTTCAATGGAAGTTGGAGCTTTGCTAGCAGCAGCAAATATAATATTCAATATGACCACAGAACATAAAATGCAACGAAAGATGGCATTTATTTCATTACACCAGTGGTACGTACACCTTGTGCTGTAAATCAAATAGTGTATTCATGTTATTTTTTATTTTTTTGTTTCAGTACCTAAAATGGTAAAAATCAATTTATTCACATCCGATAGCATCCACTCGTTTTGGTCTTTCAGTTAAAACATGCTTAACTGGGGTGTGGCGTCCATCCCAGGTCCAAGGTTCGACCACTGAGATTAACTCAACACAGCATTTCATATCTGAGCTCAGTCTCTTGTTTTCTAAAAGGACAGAGACTTCGTGGGGTGGGGGGGACGTAGCCTTGACAGATGTGTTGAGCTGTCCAGTGGGTTTCATGCAGAAACAGTTCATAGTTTTCAAGGTGCACTGAGTTGGAAGTTGCATTGAGAATTGAGGATGTAAGAGGTCATTGGACTCAAGTCAAGGGTATTTCCCTTAGTAGGAGGGGACTCTTCAGATAAGGCTTCATATGTATTAGCCCCTTAGAAAAAAGGGAAAAAATACTTCTAATGATGGCTTTTATAAAAACTTAGAACATTGTGAATGTCTGACTTTCAAATGGATATTTTCTGTTGACTGATAACCCTGAGCTACTATTAGTGGCCCTTCATTTTTGACGATTAGAGTGTAATGCTGTTGAACGGACTGAAAGCACTTCTGGAACATAAAGTTCTTGCTACTTGTTGCGGGGAAATGGGAACTGGGGGCCTCACTGAATGACTGCATACCTTCAAGGGTATGTAGGGTAAACATTTCCTCTGCAAGACCTTTGCTCTGATTGCCTCTTCGCCACAAATAGGAACGGTGATGAGATGTGAAAACCTCCTGTAGGTTGGTATACAATTAGAGTCCCTCCGATTAAATATCAGTCAACAGGCTTAAGTATGTTCTTGACAAAATGATGAAGTCCAGTCCATTGCTGGCTGATATTTGAAAAGCCTTTCATTTTCAGACAAGTTTCTGCGGCGATTCATTGAGTTGTGTAAATCAAATTGAATGTAGACCCTAAGGCAAGAGGAAACACTGAAGCAAGGCAATATGGTGTCTTTTCAGGGTACCTCACTCTGTCCCAGTGCCTTACTTATACTCACGTCTATTATTTGAAAAATGTGCCTTGAGTAGGTTATGTCTGGCAGACCAGGAAACATTCAGGGGATGTGGGATGGGCAAGGTAAATAAATGCTAACTAGCAAAGAAATTGCTAACCTAAAAAAAGAAAATAGTAGAAAGATCGCAAAGCTCAATATTCTTTCTCCAATTTGCTACTGAGGTGCATAGAAGAGGCTGTTTTTATGCCCAACAGCTGCTGATCTACTCATATCAGTTTTTTTCACAATATCTCTGAAGCCAAAAACACTGAATCAAAGTCAGATGTGTTGCGTTTGGTATGATAAGGGTGATGGGGGGATAATAAGAGTACCAAAAAGATTTTTCCAGCTTTTTTTATTGCCACTACACTGTCACAAGTACAGAGCAATGAAATTAACTCTCTGCATTTAACCCATCCCCTTGGCGTAGTACTACATAGTTTTTAAGGGAACTACCCCATATTTACTTATCTTTTTTCTCCAAAAACATTTTTCATTCTATAGACATCACATTGGTTTTATTACAGACCAGACTGGATGACCAATACAGACTTGAATACCAGTACAGTTTGGAACACCTGTTCAACTGAAGCTGGAGGCCAGCCACGGTTCTTTGGCAGAGATGAGTTTTGAAATGTAGGTTAGGGCAGCTGCTGTTCCCTGAAGCTCTGCTGGTGCTGACTGAACCTGGGCTGTGAACGACCCACAGAGCTGCGAGCCAGGCGTCGAGTAAGTTTCAAGGGAGTCGATATCAATAGCCAAAGTGTAGCGGCTTTTGGCTGTTTTCCCGAAAGCTGTCATCAGATTCTGCAAAATCTGACTCACTGCACTATGGAAAAAATACCTGCCTATAACCAGAGCCTTGCATAAAAGGGAGAGGTAAAAGGTGGATATAGCAGCTAGATTTAATCTAAGGACGATCGTTTGCATAGTTTTTTTTAATCATAAATTATCTGGATTCATTCTTAAAAAAAATCTTACTCTTCTCAGTGCAGTAATGGTAGTATGATGTATTGCTAAAAATTAAGTTTTTCTACTAATTATTTAATTTAGATCCTGGTTGCATGCTTTGTTGTAAGATTATTATATTAGCAACTGATCAAGATCTGTGAGAGATTACCACTGAATTGTATTCTCTACTTGGAGATTAAGGAGCCCTGAGTTTGATTTCCAAGATGGCTGCCATGGATGAAGGATAGATGCTATCTTTGCAGTTTGTATCTAATTTTTTCAGCCCCATGCAAAGTTTTTTTCGACCTCTTTTTGCAACCACCTTTCTTTAGAATTCAGTGCATAAAATAAAGAAAACTAGTTGCTAAATTGCTTCATAGATGATAAGTTTAACATGTGCTGTAGCTTGTAGAGTCCATCTTGAATGAGAAAGTTGGGTGTGATCCTGTTGCCACAACCTGAAATTCCAACTTTTGGAGGTGTTTAAGCAGAAATATTTACATGATGACAAACAAAATGCGCCAATAGCTGCACGATAACCCAGCAAACCACACTGGTTTTCCAACTTCTAACAATAGAGCACTAAGTTAAAGAAAAATCATCAACTCCTGGAAGCCATAATTAGCTAATTAATAGGTGCATTTAAAGAATGTTAAAAAGCTAAAGCTAAGAACTGCGTTTGTC